TCAGGAGGTGAGAGTGGACAGGGAGTCCAAGCTGAGCAGCTGATAGAGACAGACTCCTTCTCCTTCAGATCCTTCACATCACCTGAGATGTTGATGCTGGGACTCCAAGCTGAATCTGGGATTATTATACAAAAAATAATGACTGCAGATTCATTAAATTCACGTTTGAAACTCTGATAACAAAAAAACCAAATAACTGACTTGAAAATATATTTTTAACAAAGTCAGGATGTATAAATTTTTCAGTTGCAGTCTGAGCATATTAACAGAAAGTTTCTCACCTCTGACATTAATTTGAACACCCTCACAAACAGCTGTTGCCTGAAATTGGTCGTTCTCCACTCTAAGATGGTAACTGTTTGTATAACTCTGGGTGAGATTAGAAAACAAAGTGGTGCAGTTTTTCTGACTCAGGTCTCCAATTATCTTCATTGGATAGATGTTAACTGATTTATTGCTGTTGTAAACTGTATTTTCTATTTTCCATGGGATGTTCTTGATCCACACTCCAACATTTGTTCTTTTACTGTCAGACTTCAATTCATTTTTAGCTCTGAAGCTACACGGGATGTGTAAACAAGATCCACTCAGACCCTCCAGGGTTTTTGGTGAAGTGATGAACAGAGCTGAACCACCAGGACAACCATCCTGCAAAGCATCTGTAAAACCAGAGTTTAAATTAAATAAATGGTGAATCAATTATATCTCCTCCAGCAGTGATGTGCTGCTTACAGACTCTTTCTTTGTCAGCAGCTTCAGTATAAAATAAAAAGTGTAAAGTATTTTTCTGCTCTGATATTTCAGACTGTAAACACATTAAATGACAGGACTCACCTGAACCAAACAGGACTCTCAGGAACAGGATGTTTAGCAGGATTTTCACACACATGATTGTCAGAAACTGAAAAAATACAAAGTTTGTGAATTAATAATTACAGAAACTCTCCAAGTTTTCAGCTTTAATCTTGCTTAGTTATTATTTATGCCAATAATATTGAAAATAAACTCTTCTTACCAGCGGATCAGACGGTCCCACAGGAGAAACCAGAACCTTAAACCAGAGCTGCAATAAAGTTGAAAAACTTCTCTGTTCTAGAAAAGTTGATCAACTGACTTCTTCTTTTTTGTTAAACACAGGAAATTATCACACTTCATGACGTAGATAAAATCATCCAAACAGATAAATCAGTAACAGATTTTTCTTTATTTTTTAATTTAAAATCTTTYATGCAAAAAACAAATGATATATATTTTTCTCTTTCTTTATTCTTTCATCCTGTCTTAAATTTAAGCATCTCATAATATGTGATGTAAGTTTTTGCTTTGATTTTACTGTTGAAGTTGCGGTGTGGACTGTATTTAGTTCAAAAGTGGAGGCTGTTTGTTCAGCAGTCCTTCAGTTCTGGAGAGTTGAGGATGTGAACCAGCCCYGTGGTTCTATGATGGATCTGAAGCTCATATGAAGGAGGCAGCTGGAAGAACTGGGTGTGCTGAATGTGCAGGCTCACGCAGGCTGTTGTGCACCTTGCTCAGGCAGCTGATCTGAGGGAGGTTAATCCAGATGATCTTGCTCACTTTTGTTATTTATTTATTTTTTACTTGTACTCTCCGCCTGCAGAATGTCCTGCAGGACTTTATTTGTTATTATTTTATTAATAAAAAATTAATAATAATAGTAATAAGAATAATATGAGTATAATGCTTTTGTGATGCTTTTAAATATTTTTTTTTTTGTGAAGCACTTTGTGATTTTATATTTATAAAAAGTGCTATATAAATAAACTTTACTTACTTTCTTACACTGCCTTCACCACTCTCTGGATTCAGCCTTGGTTCAGCTGAAGAACCAAAGCAAAACTCAGAATGTTAGCACACTACTGATGACAATCACCTCATCACCACTGTATAGTGGAGCTAAACTGGCTTAAKTTCCTTAAATAAAGGATTTCTTTTATCTGTTTCTTTTGTGTTCAGTTCCAGGTTGTAATCTACACATGTACCAGATGTTAGACCTCCTTCCTATGTGCCACCTTATCGTTGTTTGTTATAAAAACCAAGTGTCGCACATATAATAATAAGATTAGATATTGAGTAAGCTGAAAATCATTGGGTGTATGTTGTGTACAATATTGGGCTAAACACACATCCTTGTGGAGCTCCGATGTTAATGATTATCATGGAGAAGGCATGCAGACCAACTCTGACACACTGTGAGTAATTTAACAGCAATTTGAAACAGAGATTTAGATAAATGTATGTAATCTGCAGAACTGATTGACTCRCCACATAGCAAAAGATSTRAATTCAATGTTGAATTATGATCAAAAATGTTGATTTTTAGTTAAGGTCGAGAACTGATGGTGAATCAACCATCAAGCAATCATACAATTCTAGCCAAATAACCAATTGTTAAGATGTTATTGAATCAATGTTGTTTCATGGTCCAGTTCTAATGATTGAAATGCCAACGTCTAATCAATGTTGAATCAATGTTGATATATTATCAGTTATGGTTGAAAACCTAACATTGCACAAGTAAGTCACCGACCACTCATTGTATAATTTCAACATGGATTCAGTATCATTCAATGTTGATTCACTCATATTTTACTATCTGGGTCTTTTGATCAAGAGCAGATGTAAAGTAATAAAACTACAAWTGTGTCATCCTTCTCACTTTTATAAAACAGGTTGTTGTAAAACAGGAAGCAACATTTGCTCAATTTATAGGATGTGACACATTTCTTAACAAGACAAACTTTTATACAAAGCTAGTGTTATAGAACATATTAAAATGTTAATCATAATAATTTATACATGACATGTAAACTGAAATGACTTATACAACAAAATAAGACTCAAAATCAGAACTAGAAATCCATTTTGAGCCAGTGTGTCGAATCAAAACGCTGACAGAAGCAGCTGATAAATCTGACAGAAAGTCTTTATTYGAATGTAGAACAGACAGGTGAGCAGCAAAGAAATAACTAACTGCTACAGAACATAGAGGACGTACATCATATGTATCTGTGGAAAMAAAACAATATATTTGACATGGCAGAAGTTCTACAAAATTAACTTTAACTAAGAATAAACTGTGTGAAAGTAAAGTGAAACGCAAAATACAGAAGCAATAAAAGATCAACAACAGCAGCTGTCCCATCAGTGCCTTTCAGTGTGTCATGTCACAGATATTTTTATTTGATTTCAGTTTATTTAGTAAAGCTAATGTACATCCATATATAAAAGATGCATAATAATAAAACTACTTGAATGACAAACAAGTGATGGTGGTCTAGTAAACAAGGAAACAAACAAAATGTTGGTTTGTGGTTTTTAAAGTTGTTTTCAACATGCAGCCAAAAAAGATTTATAAACATAAAATTGTTTTTTTTTATCTTTTATAATGCTTTAAAATTCAACTTTTTCGTTTCTTATAAAAAGGCAAAATTTTGAATTTAGAGCCAAATTTTATTTTTTTATTGGTATTTCGGAGAAATTGGGTATTAATGAGACGTCAACTGGAGAATGTCCAGCAGAGGGAGCTGGAGGCTCAGCAGGTCCAAGAAGTGSAAGTGGAAACATTTACTAATTTATCCACCATTTATCCTCCACCTTCAGTACTTCCATCCCTTTAGCTTCACCTCCCCAACTGCCTCTCAGATTCACAAGCATTCAGGACTTTCAGTCCTCTTCTCTCTAGACTCTCTWCCACCTGCTCCCTACTCTCACTGCAGATCACAGGTCATCTGTTCATTTTCTTCACTGACAAGAATCCGGTGCTTAAACCTGCAGCAGGAACAGAGCCCCCCACAGATCAGTGTCACCTGAAAACCTCTCAGTCTGTGGGGTCTCCTTCCTGACCTCATCCATTAACCTGATCTTCTCCACTGCTCCTGAACCCACCTGTCACCTCTACACCTCACCTCTCTATCTCTGTCCTTAAAGGTCCTGCTCCACATTTACATCTTGCCACACCTGACTTCCTCACACAGACACACTTCTTCTTTCAGCGTCCAATCAAAAGGTTTCTTGTCCTGATGAAAAAGTCTGTTACATTTCATRACTACATCGCATTTTGTTTGAATGTTGTAAAGCAATTTTGAGAAAATACTTCAAATAATTCAAAGTTGTGACAGACTGACACATTTGGAAAAAAATGAGACAAAAACTGTTCTGATCATATAAAACACAGTATAATAAAATATATTCACTTCACTTGAGCATAGAGACCCTCTGGACTGTTTCCTGGTTTGGACACTTTAACGCCTGCGTACTCCGTCTCCACTTGTTCTTTGTCCTGAACTGAGACGGAGGACACTTCCTGTGTCTTCTTGGTGAACTTCACTTCTCCATAATGAAGTTCTCCTCCTTTAGTCTCATTGTCTGTGTTTTGAGCAGTAACCTTCTCACCTGTTTGATCCTGTGAGGAAAATAAAATTGTCACTTCCATCTTGATGCTGTCACAGATCTTCAGATTAAAACAGATCAGTTCTGAATCTTTACCCACCTGAGTCTGTTGAGGAGCTCTACGTTTGAACTTAAACCACCTGGAAGACATCAGATAAAACACAAAGACACAGACTGAGAGACAGATCTGAGACAAACATTAGTGGAAGATCATCAAGAAGATCCTAAAGTATTTATACTTTAATCTCAGGTACTGTTTTATGATTACTTTAGATGTTTTCATTTCTGTTACTCACCAAACTAAAACAACCAGGAAGATGAGCAGAATGATTCCTACTGGGATTATCACCCAGAAAGGTTTTTTCCCTGAACCTCAATGAAACAAACAACATGTAAATAATCACAATAAAACTGTGACGTTACTAAAGTCAGTCCAGGAAAATATTTACCTTGAACTCTGAGATGAACCACTRATGACGTCTGATTACCCAGATTATTTACAGCCACACAGTAAAACTTTCCTCCCTCTGTGACACTGAAATTATAAACATGGCCTTCAGACACATTAACAGGTCCACCTGTACAGTTCCTGAACCAGGTGAAGGTTCTGACAGGAGGCTTGGCTCTGCTGGAGCAGCTCAGCTCCACCCAGCTACCTGCTGACACCAAACCTGATGGACTGATGGATGCTGAGGTGTCTTTAGGAGCATCTGARGAAAACRGGACAYAAAGTTTTGGATGACGTGTTTTACAGGGAATCTGTCAACTATTTMACCGGTGTAAAAAAAACWGGCAGAGAAWTATTGTCATCCTGTAAGTTGCTGGAGTGTCTCACAAGTATTTTCTCCTATCATAACATCACATTGCATCTCAAACATGATCCATAGACTCGACACAAACTCAGGGTGGGATTGGGGTGTTGTACACAGTCCAGTGGGGTGAAGAAAGTTTGGACCATCAGCTTAGTTGACAACAACATCAAGCTCATTAGAAGAAATGCAGAGTTCAACAAAGCAGTTTGTTTCTCTAAAAAGCCCTAACTTGATAGTTCTGGCTTTTCTCATAATTTGGCAAACGAGAAAAAAAAACACCGCAGTCAACCAATRGACAAGGACAAACAGAGCTGCTAAATCAGATGGTAACTAAAGCTGTCTGKTTTACAATAATGTGTTTTATGTTTAATATTTATGCTTGAGGTCATGTTGAACAGTAGATTCTGTGTAAGGGACACCTATCCATGCTAGTCGCTAGCCTCTCCGATGCTAACGCAAATGAATAGTTTCCTTCCCATTTGCCAGAGCCGGCCTCTCAGTTACTGGTGCCGGCCTAACATTAATTGAATCAGTAGCTGGCTTAGGAAAAGATCTAACCTCCTGCTACAAGAACGTAGCAAGAGATGGATGTGCAATAGTCTTAATTTTGGCCCTCATACCACTCCATACAGGCCGTCATGATTAAGAAACAGCTGAAGCACCACGAGCCGACAGGATCACTTACAGGAAACACTGAGAGTCAGATTTGTTTCTGCTGTCTTGTTACG